TCAATAATGGCCGAAATAGTTGCATTCGCTCGTGGATCGGCCATGTCTTGCTTTCGGATCTCATTGATGAGGGATTGCCACTCTTGCTTTTCAAAGAAGCACGGTTTGCCCTCGATGAACGCAGCGGCAGTGAGAAAGCTGCGAAAGGAAAGATACAGGCAGCGATCGAACCCAGTGAGATGGGATTTTGCCCCGCGCATGGACATCAGCAGAGCTGCTCCAGCGGCATGCTGAGCCCAAGAGTCCTCTCTTGTCTGAGAGTATGCTTCGAATAGGCTGAGTAAGATGGATGTGCTAACACTTTCCCTTGACCGCATGATCTTGTCATGCTTGATCATGCCTCCTAAGGAGATCAGAGCCTTTGAGTACATCTCTCGGCTAGATTTTTGCAGGGCGACATCGTGATTTGAACGTCCCATGAAAACGGACGTGATGCAGAAAATAGCTGCATCCAGGGCTGGAGTTGTCCCCAAAACATCCGCTACATACACTGCCCAAGGAACATGGACGCGATATTTGTTGAGACCGAAAAAGCGGGGAAATGCTGTGAGGACGAAGTCACGGAATACTGCAGGTTGTTGCCGAGTCATGGACTTTGCGACTAAAGAAGGGAAAATCTGCTCGTCAATTGAATCAGGTGGATGTGCGAGACTATCTTCTCTTCTTATTTCCTCGACCTCGTGCTCATTGACTAGACTTGCAGTCTGCTGATATCGCTTCTTGATCACGGGTCCTTCGTCCATAAATTTGCGGACTTTTGCATAGCCAGGACACTGAACACCATATTTACGGCATTGAGAGCATTCCGGCCGCAACCCATCACACTTAATTGTTTCTGTTAGTTATCAAGTAGGTAGATGCGGATTCTAAGCTAAAAAGGAATTCAAACCTTGATGCGTCTCTTGATGCAAATCTGACACCCAGTGCTTCGTGGGACCCCAACCATGTTTGAGTATTTGGCTGCTACATGCTCTCTTAAGGCTGGTACGGTGTATGCGTAGATTACCACGATCGATATGACTTCAATGATTCGAGACGGAGCATCATGCAGGTAATAATGGGACGTTTGAGGGAGGGGGGAAAAATTCACAAGATGTGAGTTATTGAGCGGTAGTTGCCAGGGTAGTAATGATCGAAGTGGAGAGAAAAGAGTTGCAAGAAACAGATATTCGAGTACTTTCCGTTCTCTATGCTCTTTCTGTCTAAAGAGGTATTATTGCCCTCTCGTAAGGCTTGCCGGATTTTCCCTCCTACTCGTTCCACTTTTAAGCTTGAAGCAACCTGAAAGGATCCGTTACTCCACCGCACTCGGCGTTCATCCTGAACTTTTCGATTTTGAGCAAGTTGAGCAGCTGAAGAAACGTTCTGCTGATCGCCAGAAAGCAGTAAAGCCAGGGACGGCCCAGCTGGGGGGAGACAGCGAATGAAATGTCTTCTTGATTGAGAGTTTGTCTCAAACGCGGTCCATCTCCGAGTTGTTGCTAGCTTGTAGAAGTAAACCAACGGAAGCGCTCAGCAAGCTTAAAGCAAGCCGTAAGCCAATAATCTGAATGACTTCCCACGGCTGCCCAAGCAAGAGCCCGTGGAACATTACTCCGTATTAGTAAGTTGTGTCTTGGCTCGCCGAATTTTGTCGTTTGATTCGCTGTAAACAGAGTGCAGGGGCAGAGGTAATGAAAGGATCAAGACCCAGGTTGTATTCGACGAAACCCACCCTATTTGAGTATTTAATCATATGCCAGGGAGCCCTCATCACACGAACAATTGTGCGTCTCGATTAGATCCATTGATAGTTTAACAATACAGGAGGCATCAGCGGAAGAGATAGAGTGTGATGGAAGAAGAAACCAGGAGTGAGAAAAGTAGTGTAGTGGCGTAGATAGTGGAGTTGGAATCCTGGAAAGGATTCGGTCGCGGAAAGTGTCGATGGAACCTGATGGAGCTCGCTAAGGTAAGGTGGTCATATGAACATTCCGGTCTTTCCCCAATTAAGCCTCACCACCCGCGTGCCCAACGGGTCTAGTCCCTTTCTTTAAGATCTAGACGTCATGTCACACCAGGGACGAATTCTCACCAGATTTTGGACTTCGAATTTGCCCAACAATGGGCCGCCCATTGGACTATGTCAAGCGATATGCAGCAGCGTCGACCAGGACGCCCTACAATTGACAGCGACAATGTCCTCGCTGGTGGTTCTAGACTGTTCATAAGACGCAATGTACTGTTTGCCAAAAGCGCCTTTGTCACCGGAAAGACGACCTACTACTTGACAACAAAGACATTGGTGGAAGTTCCATTTTGGACCCTCGCCTGCAAGACTACCTTGAATGGCTCATTGCTGTGAGCTTCGTCGAGATCTGGCGATGGTTCTTGCGGCTCGTCAATGACCTTCATAGCAACAAAGTGCCAACCTGGCTTCGGCAGGCTGTCCATCGTCGCGAGAAGCTTGAGCGTCTGTTGAACGTTCCAAATTCCCTCTCGCGGCCCGCGATAACCTGCCAACCAATGTTTGACCCAGTTACGCAGTCCCGGGTTCGTTGACCACCGGTAGGCTCCTACAATCGAGGGAAGCATGCCATAGCTGTGCGTGAAAGACTCGCCGAACCGCGTGGGCGGTATCCCTGCTGCAATCCGACATATGGTGAGTGCGGTCCGCTCCGCGTCAGGAGGAACTATCCGTCCTGAATCTGGAAGGTATCGCGTACGCGCCCGCATGCTCGTGCAGAGATACGCCGCGTAATTGACGGCTGAAGTGCAAGGGTCTTTGGCATTGGGAAAAACGAGCGCAGATACACGGATCAAAAATGCACGATCAGAAGAAGATATCGTCAGATAAGCTCCGCTAATGTCATCATCCACGGGCACTTCGTCAATCGGTACGTCCGTCCGCCATTCATCCAGGTTGCAAAGAAGCTCTGAACTCTTGCTAGACCAGAAAGTATCCAGCTCGGGCTCCTGACGTTTCTGTATCTCCAATGCTGTTACTTCCTCTACCAACAGCAACATCCTGTCCCGTAGTTGCGACGATTGCTTCAAAAGCAGATCTAGCCATCGTGACAATTTTGCGGGCATAGTTTCCGGGGAGGTAACTGAGTAGTCTTTGTTATATAAGCGCAACAACAGTGCCATTCTCGCAAAAGACCTGATCAACAGCATTCCTGCCGGAGTCTGCCTAAGCTGTTTGTATCCGGTATTGAGGCATAATGCGGCACCCTGCATGTGCGAGCGCCATGCAAGCAAGGCGCCTCGCTGAAGCTCAAAATTGGCAAGCAACATGGTTGTGGCGAACAATGAAAGAATCCTATCATAGTTCCACGATTGAACCGCAGTGTCCGCCGCGCTTCTCGAGGATAACTCTGCATTCAAGCCCTGAATGGCCTTGAGACTATGATGAAAGGCGTGACGGCGTAGATTGATCGAGCCTCTCGAATACGGCTCGAAACTCGACATTGTGAGAGCTGCTAGGGCCATGGCGGCATTATAGACGTGGTGGGACATGGCTTGTGATTTGAGAATCTCTGGTAAAGGCAAGACTTTTGAAAGTCCCGATAAATGACCGCTGGCAGAGTACTCATAATACCTGTAATCCTCTGGGAACTCGAACGCTCCAAGAAGGGAGAGAGATGAATTGAACGGGATACGGCGCGGTGAGAGCCCGGTTTCTGTGGACATTGGCGAGTATGGCGGCAAGTAGCCGTCATGCATCACCATCAATGAATCTGAGGCTGCATCAAGAACATCGGGCCATTCAGGCGTGGAATGATGCACTTGGCCGGGTTTAATGTCACAGTATATTTCAGGGTCAGAATCGGTCGGAGTGTCCGGATCTCGTCGAAAAGTTGCTTTCGTATCTTCCTGCTTCAGTTCCACAGGAGAACTTGATTCTGAATACTCGGACGATGGGGGAGAGAGTGGTCCTCTGAGGCCGATCGGTTCCCGGCCGCTGGAACTGGGCAACGTGCCGTTTGGCTCGTCATCCTCCTCATTCTTAGAGCTCGATGACCGCCCTTTCTTCCCTACAGGTTTGCCTGTCACTCTTGCAACGACGAGCTTCGTCTGGTCCTTGAAAGTAATCCTCTGAGCATATCCTTCGCACGGAAGGTTGATACGTCTGCACTGTATGGTGGTCAGCATTGGAAATGGACAGGAAGCCAACGGTCCGAACGAGATTCGCACATTGTTACACCCCGGTTTCGTCTCATCGCACTTGAGTCTTCTGCGTCGGCACGTTAGGCAACCGGTTCGACCACGCGAGACGACATTGCGCTTTCTGACAGGTTTATCTTGCGAAGCGGCAAGGGGCATCGTAGCGACAAGGAAACGGACGAGGTAGTATGGAACAGATCGCCTTTGAACTCCGGAGTACAATACTATTCAGATCCGGAGTCCTGTGGACAGGGAGCGATCTGCTTCTGCTGACTTGAAATGGTGATGCAAGAAGCCGATGCTTATACAAACTCAGGATCATCTCTCTTGAGACATTCAAACCGTTTGAGCTATGTCAAGCTATGTCAACTAAACGCCTATTCGAGTCTATCGGAAGGACGGCAAACACCTTAGGCGCAAGGGATCGACAGACTAGCGAACGATCCACGCTGCAGTCACCAGATAGGCCCCCAGATGCCACGCTAAGCAGGCTGGGATGGACACCGAAGGGAGGAATGTGACAAGTCCAATCTCACTAAGTTTGTGTCGCCTCTTTCCTTTGTTTTACCCCCTTAAAAGATAAGCGAGGCAAACGCAGTGGTCTTTGCTCCGAACTTAGACTTTCTGCTCCAGCACTCAAGAATTTCGGTGGCTTGAACATCTGTATTTAGGAGTCAAGCCTCAAATGTTTCTGCTTACTGTGGTACGTCGGAGGTAAGCACCGCGCCATGGAAAATTCTTGCCTTACATTCTGACTTGCTTTCCTTCCTTTTTTTTCCTGCTTTTTTGGAGTGGCATAACCTGCAGATGCCCCAGGGGGCTCATGTCTCGGATGTATCAACGAAAATAATACCTTATGATTGGCGATAGTCGCTGAGATTGCCACTAACCACAGCATCCGTGCCACACTGCTGCAGATACAATGCTTTGAAAACACCTTCCCCTCCTTCGAGAAGATGACGAGGATTTCCCGCCTCCAGCACTTGGCCGTCGCCCATTACGAGGACTTGGTCAAAATCGATAATGCTGTGTAACCTGTGTGTGATGGCTATGACCGTACATTCGCTGAAGCGGTCCCCAAGGACAGCCATGATACGGTCTTCGCTTGCTTTGTCCAGGCTAGCGGTCCCCTCATCAATGATGAGAATTTTGTGTTTGCTCACCATAGCTCGTGCGAGGGTAATGAGCTGTCTCTCGCCTTGTGAGAAATTTCTCCCATTCAGTTCAACGGTGTCATCCAGCTTCCATTTCCTTGTCCCCGCCACATCATCTAGGATCGACTGCAGGTATCCCTCGTCATCATCTCCGTTGAAGTCCAGATTGAAACGTATTGTTCCATCAAGCAGTGTGGGATCTTGAGGGATAAAACTTATGCTCTGTCGTAGCTTTTCAACAAGAACTGATTCAATGTCAACGCCATCAATGGATATGGATCCACGCGTCCTAGTCGTCAGCCGTAGTAGACTCAGTGCCAGGGAAGTCTTTCCGCTCCCTGTGCGACCGACAATGGCTGTTCGTTGGCCGGCATTCGCTCTGTAGTTGACACTCTTGAGAACCTCCTCTCCATCCAACGAATAGCTGGCCCCGAAGTTTTCAAAAGTGATCAGTCCCCGAGTTGGCCAATGTTCTACCGCACAGGCGTCAAGATCAGCGGAAGAAACTTCTTGTGGAAGGTCCTGGATATAGTTCTCAATACGGCAATAACTGGCCATTTCTACTTCCAGAAGACTCGAGAGATAAACCAGATCTAGACGGTTAGTGTACAGCCACTAACATCCAGACAAAGAGAACGTACAAAGTAGAGCCGTGCAGAGGCCGGTTGTGAGGGTCAAACTAAGACCAACAACAGGCGCACTTGAATGCGGCCGCAAGATGGCTAATGTCGCCGCCGAGCATGATATCAAAGCGACGAAGATGTCCATCCGTACTGCCAGCCATCTTTGAAGATCACTGACAGCATTCCATGCCTGGGCATGGTGCTCAACTGCCGCATTGAAGCGCTTCTGTAGCATCCCCTGCGCACGAAAGGCGTGTATTGTCTTAAGGCCCGACGCAGTTTCCGCAATACTATGATGCAGCGGCGTGAGACTAGCGGCGTATATATGCTTCACGGCGGTGGCTGCGAAACGATAACGGTAGCCCACATAGATTGCAAACCCGCACAGTACGACAGAGGGCAAAAAGAAGAGTGGTATAAGCGATGTCACGGTGAGAATTCGGAGACCAATTGACAGATATGTCTCCAAAACTGGACGAAACGTCCTGAACAGAGTGTCGTCTAAACTTGCGATATCAGACGAGAAATGATTGATTACTTGTCCCACTGGGGTACTCCAGATCCAGGTGTAAGTGGTGCCGAAGATTGCGGAAATCATTTCTAAATGCTTGTCACGACTAGATCGCCAAGCACCCGAGTATAGCAACAACAGCGAGACTGCCAGGATCGCTATTTGCGCTGAACCGAGTCCTGCTCTTGTAGTCAGCATCTGCCATCTGATACTATCAGAAGGGGACGTCATACCTGTATAAATTCCTAGGTAAAACCCATCCCTACCTTCCCCTTCGCTTCTCACTGATAGTGCACTCCAAATTGAGAGCCATGCTGGGAGTCCGATCTCCAAGGCTTGAGCTCCTACGGCAGAAATCACTGCTAAAGTGACGAATGTCCGACTGCCAAAGGACCGGAGATATTTGAAGCCTGGAAGGGTTAATACCTGGAAATGGACAATACTGCTAAACTTACCATATCTCAAACTGCTCACGCGCTGAAAACCAGCACCTTCATTAGAGGCCTCCGCAGAGATCGGGCTCATCTTATCGCTGCCACCGGTGCTTTCAAAGGTTGCAGACACTGTTTCAGAGGCTTCTGGCGTATCATAAAACAAACGATCGACATAATCCTTGTCGGGCACGCCTTGTCTGTTTTTGGTGCTGAGATTGTTCTTAACTTGCGCGATTTTGCCATACTCCATGTGAATGACTAGATCAGCCATCTGGAGTATTCTCTGACTATTCGTAACCATTATCATTGTGCGATTCCGCTGCTCCGATCTGAAGATGCATTTCGTCACCACCCACTCGAAGGTGCTTGGATCTAACCCTGAGAGGATATCATCCAATATGACGAGATTTGCGTTCGTATACATTGCTCGCGCAAGGGACACTCGCTGACGCTGACCCCCAGAGAGACTGCGGCCACCTTCACCTACCTCTTTGAGATCGCCGTCCTTGAAAGCTGCAAGATCTTTCTCCAACGCGCAATCTCTAATGACCCGCTCGTAGCGCTTTTGATCGTATGCAGTCCCAAATACAATGTTGTCCTTGATACTGCCTCGGAAAAGCCAAGGTTCTTGAGATGCGTAGGCAATCGGCTCGAATTGTGCTTTGCCGAGCCCTATGCTGCCTTGGTTTGCAGAACCACCAAGCAGCAATGAGTGTAACAGCAAAGTTTTTCCTGACCTAGTTTGCAGATGTTAGCAATTCTTTCGAAAAGCAGTGGAAAGGAGATAGGGAAGGGCTGTACCCAGTATCACCCGTAATCACATTGAGTCCGCCCCTGACGAACTCGACGTCAAACCTGGCTTGAGTGTGATTGAACTCCCCGAGGACTTGCGCTGTAGAAAATGAGGGAACCCGACGGTCAAATTTTTGTGCCTGCATCGTAAGTTGGGTTTTGTCTGTGACCACCGGGGGAGTCTTTCGGTCCATAAAGTCGCTTAATCGTTGCAAGCTCACCATCGCTTGCGCGTATTGCCCAGCACCAAGTACACTTAAGGTAAGCATATTCTTGAGAATATTGAATACAGCGACAAGTGTAAACACAATATCCGGCGCTAAAGGCTTTTCCCCTGCGAAGATGAAAAGGCATAGACTGAGGACCATTGCCAGAAAGGAGAATGAAGAGGAAAGGCTTTCTGAGAGAATGATGACACGCATCTTCAGCCAGATAGCATCTAACTCTTGCTTCCTCTCATCCAAGATCCTTCTTATAAAAGACTGTGCGTTTCCAAGTATCTTGATCATTAGTAGAGCCCGTATGCTTTCACTTGTTCGTGTTATCCGCATATCGGTTGCCCGCACGATCGCTGACTGAGATTTGGTTTGTTCCGATATTATGAATCGGGAAAGAGGATATCTAGTGACAAGAAGAAATAGCAGGCTGGGGATATAGTACCATCCCATAACCCTATATAAGAGAATGGAGGCCGTGATGAATTCAACGGGGACCATAAATGCCGTCATTGCGGTGTATCGAAGTGTACCCAACCTGTCAATATCGACTGATATAATGCTCTGTAATTGCCCAACATTAATATCTGCATCTGCCTCGAGCATCGTCATTTTCTGGTATACAGCGGTGATAATAAGAGACTTCCAGTCTCCTATTGTGTGGGTAGCAAAATACTCGAAAGTCTGCATGCATAGACCGCGAATAATCGGCGATAATGCAAATAATGTGATGGAGAACCAGGGTTGAAGCTTGGCTTCAGACATACTTTGAAGAGAAAGAAGAAGCTGATGTAGCCCGATCGTCCCCACAAGCTCGAAGAAGCCACACAGGCCTGCAAATAGAGCCATTGTAGCTAGCCTCATTCGAAACAACTTCCAGAGAATGAACTTGAAAGGTAAAGATTCCGGGCCACAACTTGCATAGGCTTGTTGCCAACTGTCTACTGAGGCCTCGACTTTCTGAGGATAGAGATCTTCCTTGTTGATGGAGCCGTTTCGTTCGTAGCCGAGTGTCACCAGGGGACTGACCCAAGTATAAAGCCACCATCTGGAGAGAGGCGAGCATGTATCTTGAGGGTGATTTGCACCCTTAACCGATGTGTTCAAGTTTGGAGAGAAAATAGGAACAAGAACCGAACATGTAGAGCTCGCCACTAGCTGGACTATATCCAACGAGGAAAGTCCTGAACCTGACGGGACTTGAAGCCATATCATTGGGTATAACCGCCGAGGTACATCTACTGTGAGATAGATGGATAGACTGAGAAACGTTGCGTTTTTTAGGAAAAGGAATCGATAAGGCGTTGGCGCCAGGTAGAGAGCTCGGAATAGTGATATGATTACCTGAGAAGTTAGTAAAGTTCTTATCCTTTTATAACTTGCCAGAACTTACCCAGAGCGAGGCTATAATAATCCTTGACTTTTTATCGAAGCCTTCAGCCCATAGAAAGGCAAAGGAAGAAATCGCACATGTCACGGCGGAAAGAAATCCTAGAATTCCGCAGAGTATCTGTGTTGGACTCAATGTCATCGGACTGGCCAGCGTTCGTCGACATAAAAGATGTACAATGTTGGCAACGTAAATGAGCACGCACAGCCCAGCTAGAACTAGCATGCTAAGCTCAACTGAAGGGAAGAGAATCGGCATAATGGTCAGTATATGGATATGATTTTGAAGGAAGTTTGTGAAGTGTATGAAGAGCAATGACTAATTGTGCGTTCACCCTTATAACCAAGGGCGAGAGATTGAGAACTGCACGCAACAAAGAAGCAGAATTCTTGAAGAAGTGCCTATTTCCTCTTGAACAAAAGAGGTTTATAAAGCAGTAAACACACGGTCATTCACAGATCATTCCCCTTGATCTTTACCTTTTTGGCTCCACACAAGACTTGACCGGCCATATAGCACAGCCAAGAGCAGGGTCCGCAGATAGGTAGTCTCAACCTTGCAATACAAATTGCCCAATTGAGTAAGTTCAGAGTCCGCCATGTCTGAGCACTCCAACTTGTAGATCCCAACAAGCAGGAGGAGCCCAGGTGGGCAAAAAGACACGGGGCCAGATTAAGCTCTTCTGCATAGGGCCCAATGGATTGGTGCAAAATTTCTAGATTGATTCCCATCGTACGACAACGCCAACGACACATCGATCATCCGCTAAGAGGGCTTTAGTCTCAGTGATGTGGGAGGCGAGAAAAGAGAGCACGTCTCGATTCTTGACGAGGTTGTCGTTCTCAGTTACCCGATTGGGAATGTCCACCGCTAGCGCCAACACCGAACTGAACATGGGACAAACACAACCCAGCACGACACACGATGACAAGCAAAACCCTGATCATATGCTCCCGAGCTCCCTAATTCTCTTAATTTGAGCAATATGCCGGTTTTTCGACTGGTTCTGTGGCCGTTTCTCTCCTCTTCAACTTGGCCTCCGGACAAGTCACCATGAGACGCTGGTTCGCGGAGTGGTCACTTGCCGGCTTATTCGCACTTGCAAAGGGAGCAGTAGCAGACTCAGAGGGCTCTCAAGCTCTACTCTCCTGCAATTATGAAGATGGGTCGTTTAGGACGTTCAGAAGCCCTGCATTTCCTTCCCATTCGATCCGGATCAAAGAACAGAATGACGAAGTCTGCGACGCAGGGTCAAAGCAGTACACTGGATGGCTTGAATTTCAAGGAAAACATATATTCTTTTGTAAGTTCTGAGACGAGTCGACAGGTACTCTCGCTGACCATGGGATGGAAGGGTACTTTGACAGCTTGAATGATCCCCTGACCGATCCGCTCACATTGTGGTTGACGGGAGGACCTGGCGTAAGCAGCTTGGTTGGTGGGGATTCTCCTTTGCTTGTAAAGGAATCGATCCAGTGCGACTAACTAGAGATCAGGTTTAATGCTGGAATTAGGTCCCTGTCGCATCAAGACCGGAGGCAATCACACAGAGAGAAACCCTTACTCTTGGACAAGACACTCATCCATGATATTTGTCGACCAGCCGGTAGGAACAGGGCTTTCGTATGTGGATTCTCATCCGGATATCCCAACAAGTTCCAAAATTGCTGCAGAAGACATGTATATCTTTCTGCAAATCTTCATGACGGAAGTCTTTCCTGAACGCCGACAGACCCCCTTCCACATAGCAGGGGAGAGTTATGCTGTATGTTCCTTTTCATTGAATTAGTTGGCTGGTTTACTCTAACAGTATGTCGAAGGGGCATTATATTCCTACCTTGTCACGGGAGATACTTCGGCAAAACCAGGTCTTTGAAAGGCCAGAGATTCCACTTCAATCGATCTTGATCGGAAATGGCTATGTTTCGCCGCTCGACACCCTGTACGGATATTACGAGACACTCTGCACGACGAAGCCAGGCGTTGACGAGCCTGTTTTCAACCAGACCCGCTGCCATATTATTTCAGAGAACCTACCTAGATGTATCAGCATTTATGAGGTGTGCTATCGATATCCAGACGAGGTCCTATGCAAAGCTACGGATGCAGTTTGTGGCGTCATAAAGGAACTGTATCACAACGAGTCACACGCAGGGGGACGTGACCCTTTTGATAGTAAGACTTGGACTTCAATGGTTCTCAAAGGAACAATGTGCTGATGCTTGCCAGTCACTCGAACCTGTGAAGTGGACCACCTGTGTTTCTCCCAAACTCTCGAGATTCAGAAATACATAAATAAGCCTAGCATTTGGGCTGCTCTTGGTGTTCCGGAAGCTGTCCGGAATTTCTCCATCGAATCCACGGAAGTTGCTTCCGCGTTTGGGACTACCACTGATCTGTACAGCAATGTCATGAATGAGATCAAGTACACATTGGAACATGGAGTGGACGTTTTGATATACAATGGGAACCTGGACCTTGCATGCAACACCGCGGGTAACTTAAGGTGGGCGGAGGCTTTACGTTGGAATGGACAGGCACCGTTCACTTCAGAAGATCTGAAACCTTGGTACTCGAATGTAGGTGGTAGCAAAGTCAAGGCTGGGAGTTTCAAGGAAGTCTTCGTCTCAGTCCCCAACGCGGTCTCTGGCAAACAGCGCTTCGCGTTTGTCACGGTAGATAACTCTGGACACATGGTGAGTGCATGTCGTGATAGCAACTCAGTATACAGGGCTAATGCAGCGCAGGTTCCGTTAGATCAGCCTGAAGTGGCGCTTGATCTTTATCAAAAGTGGTTGTTTCAAAAATCTCTCTGATCAGAAACCTCCAGCTGGCTGCCTTGACACTTTTGGTTGATACAAGAGGAATTTGCATGCTGCCAGGCTTGCCAGCATATCCACAATGGTTGGACTCGAGCTCGATTAGTAACGGTCTAGACCTCACTATTACGAGCTTCAAGCCGTGACACTCAATTAATCAGTCCATTCTCAAAGTCTTTACCGAACTCCATGAGTCTTCGTGTGTGCTCATTGCAAGAAGGCTCACTTTATAGAGGGTATAAATACACCTATTAATGAGTCGTTCTGTGTAAGAGTCCAATATTCCATCCTCAAAGTCGTATTCAATTGGGGGTTGATAGATCACCAAAGCATGAACGCTTTCGAAAGTGACCGGTCCACTGACCGCGTGGAAGTATTGAAATGTGACCAAGAAGCAAGGAGCGCACTCTGTAGTCTGATGTGGCTTGCAGATCGCCCAAAAAAGAGAGATGCGCGAGGATCGTTTTGGTATTTATCCATGCACTACGGAGTAGAATGGATAATGAATTACCAATGTAATCAATGAGATCTGGAATTTGCGACGATTTGCTTGACAGAATTCACCGGGCAAACAATGATCACCGATCCTACTGCTTCCACCCGAGCCCATCGGATACCAGCAGAACCTAAAGATTGCAATGGAATCTATCGCTCAATGAGCACGGATAGTGGATAGTTGCAGCAATCGATAACTGTAATAACCCAGGTCGTGGTGACTGGCCTCCTATAGGGTACTGACTCTATTGAGTGTGGTTAAGCTCTTATTCCAGTTCCTTGCTTCCCTGAAACATGATCGCACCAGAAGAATGTCAACCATGAAACCTAAGCTGCATATATACTCTCCGCAATTAACTGATGCAGATTAAAAATATCTTGCGTGTCAGATCTTCCTTGCTTGAACAAAGTCTGACAAACCAGCTCTTTTGTGGGGTTACTCAGGCATCGGGTGAAGGCCTGGCCTCAGTCGTCCATTGCCTTTGCCGTCAGCTCATGGCTGGATATTTTCCTCAAATTGGAATATGCTTCTCTTGATCCTCGCCAATCTATACTGTTATCTCCTGAGTCATCAAACCTAGTCAACTTCTCTTGTGATGGTCCCTCCGCTTGAAGGACTGTTTCGTCTTCTCGACGGTTCTTGATCGAAACCGACATTGAGAACGCAGTCTGGGACTGGACATCTTACTCAGCTTCGATATGGGGTCTAAGAAGGAGTCAGTGGATATCAGCGTCTGCCAGTCATCGAGAGAACCGACAAATGATGAGAGAGCCGAAGCACTCGAGCCGCAGATCTATACGCAGGAGACACAGCTTGAGATAGGTGATGATACTGATGACGACGTGTACGCCCTGTCTTTCTCTTTATTTGTATATTAACACATACGGGTTATTTGCAAGCAATACTGACCAAAGAAGTGTCTCTCCAGAGGTACGAGCGAGTGTTCCTGCAGACGATGAGGACATCCCAGTCAATACCTTCCGCGCCTGGTTCCTGGGAATAGTAGGAACTGTAATCCTTACAGCGTTGAATCAGTTCTTTCAGCTTCATTCTCCACCGCGTGAGTGTTTTGGTTCAAACTATCAGTAGCAGAAGGACTAATCTGGATTGTAGTATTCCTTTCCGCCTACCTAGCCATCCTAGTGACATTCCCCTGCGGAAGGTTGATGGAAGCTGTTTTGCCTGAAAGAAAATGGAAAATACTGGGTTGGACATTTACCACCAACCCAGGACGCTTCAATCAAAAAGAGCATTGTATCGTGGCCATAATGGCGTCCTTGGTGACCGCCTTCGATAACGGGTCTCTCGCAACGGATGTCTATGTCGCCTTTGAGAAGTTCCTTCACATTCCCATTTCCCTCGGATACAGGTTTATGTTTCTTCTCACGACGCAGGCTTTGAGCTTTGGCATCGCAGGGTTGTTTCACAAATTCCTCGTTGAGCCAGCAGCCTGCGTCTGGCCGGGGGTGCTCCCAACTTGCTCCATGTTGTATACTATGCACCAACGGAACAAACAGAACGAGGAAGCTGACGGATGGAAAATAAGTCGTATGAAGCTGTTTACTGTGGTTATTCTATGCGGAGCAGTGTATCAGCTTCTTCCCGGGTTTCTATTCACAGGCCTCACAACGTTTGCCTGGATAACTTGGATTGTTCCCAACAACGTCACTGTCAACCAGGTCTTTGGAGCCGTTTCAGGGATGGATCTTCTCCCCATGACCTTGGACTGGAACCAGATCACTGGCTATCTAGGATCACCTCTCCTTGTGCCTACATGGGCGTTGACGAACGTGTTCTGTGGAAGTATCTTTTTCCTTTGGATCGTGTCTCCGACATTACACTGGAGCAATGTTTGGCAAGGGATGTACATGCCGTTTTCTTCGTCGAAGACGTTCGATAATACAGGTGAGTTATTCATCCTACATCTCTCAGAGGTTTCCTAACATGTTCAGGCAAACCATACAACACCAGTCGAGTGATGAACTCGGATTATTCACTAAATCAAACTGCCTATCATGATTATTCTCCAGTGTTTCTGTCAACAACGTCTGTTCTTTCATATGGGTTGGGATTTGCGGCTGTGGCTTCAATCATAGTCCATACCGCTCTCTACCACCGCCGTGAGATTTGGTACGGTCTTCTTGCCAGCATTGGAAAGTCGTCTGTGGAAGAGAAACCAGACATTCACGCGCGGGTAAGCACCACGACCCTAATGAGAGATAGCTACTGACAAACGCAGTTGATGAAAAAGTACAAGCAAGTTCCATTGTGGTGGTATGGCTGTACCTTTCTAGCGATATTCAGCATCAGCGTCGCGTTTCTTTATGTCTATGATACCGGACTCCCCTGGTATGGTCTGATCCTGGCCATAGCGCTTCACGTAATACTTTTGTTGCCAACTGGCATCATGATGGCCTACTGCAATATTAAGCTTTCGACTGCCGTGATATCGGCCCTCGTAGCCGGATACATCTGGCCTGGCAGGATGATGAACAATGTGGTTTTCAAGATCTTTACTCTGGTTTCATCTGCTCAAGGGCTCGGGTACATCTCCGTCATGAAGCTTGCCCACTATATGGTGAGCCTTCCTTTCAAACCGGAAGAACAAGGCTTCCCCTAACGGATCCAGAAAATTCCTCCTCGCGTCACTTTCGCGGCACAGTGCACGGGCATCATCGTTTCGTGGCTGACACAGACCGCAGTCAACGTCTGGGCGATGGGCAACGTTGAAGACATCTGCACCCCGGAAGCAAGTAATAGTGTAAGTTCAGCAGAACCCTAAAGTCTGGAACTGTTAAACTGAGGCATGGTAGTTCCTCTGCCCACTCGCTGCAGGCTACGCCACAAATGCAACCTTCTGGGGCCTCATCGGCCCGAAGAGACTCTTTTCGGAGGGCTCAATGTACCGATCTATGCTGTGGTTCTTCCTCATCGGTGCCGCATCCCCTATAGTACTGTACCTTCTGGACAGACGCTTCCCCAGAGCAATGCTGAGAAAGGTACCAGCAGGCCGTACCGCATACAATACAGATTGATATGCTGACTGCAACTTAGATCCACCTGCCCGCAATCTTCGCCTCCACCGCATCGATACCACCAGCCACCGCGGCAAACTACATGGCCTGGGGGATTGTGGGGCTCTATTTCAACGGCCATCTTAAGCGCAGGTACCGACGATGGTGGATGAAGTATAATTATATCCTGTCAGCTGGACTCGATGCGGCGCTTGCAGTCGGCAACTTTCTCATCTTCTTCTGCTTGGCGTACCCCGGCGTCCAGCTCAAGTGGTTTGGGAACGAGATCACCTCGCGGACGGCCGATGGGATGGGCGTTCCGTTGCGAATGGTGGAGCGTGGACGAACCTTTGGACCGCGGACTTGGAATTGAGACCGGTGAAGGTGTCAGATGAAGGTCGATTAGAGCACTTTTGCAGAATTACTTTTTCTAGTACCTCTCCAATTCACCTGATAAGTACGAGACGTAGAGAATTACTTTTGCTGTCCTGCCGAAATAGGTATGATGTCAATGCGCGCGGAGGTGGAGACTGGAGAGCCCAACTTCCCCACTTCACCTGGGGTAATTATCATCTGGATACTTCTCTAGAAATCTAACTAAATAAATCAATGATGGCAGTGTGCAGACTATAGAACACGTCATGCTCAAGATTAGATAGGATTAAATGTGCGATTCTCTCATTATCGCTAGATAAGAGGCAGAGGACAAAAGAATATCGTCACTCCACTCCAGGAAACAGTGGTATGACATGGCATGATCTCTCTAGTTACGGAGTACAGGGTACTTGCATGCAGTAGCTGCAGACTATTTATTATGCTATGGAGATCGAAATAGGAGGAAATTGAGCAACAACTAACAGCATTGATATCTTCTATCACCAGCCAATGATCCTCTTGACGTAGATAGTAGGAATTAGGAATAAGATAAGTGGGTGATTCAATGTTCACAAGACCCCAAACGGGCCAAACCCAGATTCCCTTGTCCAACCGCCAAGGAAGCTAAATCCGAAGCTGGACTCAAAAGTCTCAGAACTAGTAAACGCCAGACTTTCCAGGGCCAGTCAGCTCGCCCTTCCCGCCCGTGGCATGTCTACCAGGATTAGTTGTCGGAGCCGGGGCTGAATGGCTGTGCTCTGGGCCCCTGTTGGAATGTGAAGGGTACTGTACTTACGGAGTACGCAGTATTCGTACACTGTACTGGATTCCTTGAAATTTAGTTCCACAACATATGGCCGTGAATCATACCAAGAACCCAGGTAGAAATAGAATAGTTAGGCGAGTTAGGCGGCCAGCAACAAAAAAACATTCTTCTGCTGTTTCATCTCACCTTGCAGATTTGTATTTGCATTTGCGATCGCCGTAGATGATTGTAGATAGAATACTCTGTCGAGAAAGGATCGGATGGGCTCGTGTTGTGGTGATCCTGCAACTCACTGTAAATGGTCTGATTAAGGTGCACGCCAACTTTAAAGGCTGGATGGAGCGAACCCGAACCCCGCCATGAATGAGGTGACGGACGGGCGATCAGAAGACAAGACGCGATTGTCGAGTAGATGATAAAGAGCTCGTTCAGGCGGCTCGAGTAAATACCAGGTTTGAGTCTTTTCTTTTTCCTCTCTCTGTCTCATTTCATTCCGTATTTTTGTCATCGTTCCGATTTGCGGTCGGTCGCATTCTCAATCCATCCATTGTCACTAGCTAGTAGCTACTGTCTGTACTCCTCGTTTCTACGGTACACAAGCGGCCAATCCGTTGTTCCCAGCCGAAAGCGCAGACCATCAAGGAGTCTGGAACGGACCATGGGGCTGTCGTCAAGCGACGGAGAAATGAACAGTAAAAATCATCACATGGTCATCGTGCTTGGTATAGGTTTGGGAGTCGTCTCATTGATCATCATGTGTCTGCTGTGAGTCCTTTCCCATCACTATCTACCAAGCTGCGCTATGCAAGTAAGGTAGCTAATCTGACAGATTGACCATCTTCATCAACCGCCGCGAGCGAACGCCCACCTTCAAGAAAAACAGAAAAGACCACGGCGATAAGCTGCGCAGATTGGACGCAGTCTCGCCGATACGGACGCTGGAAGAATGGTGGTCCAAATCGAAAGGTCCTCTTTTGCCCTCCGAAGGGGCGGATGGGCAGTTTATCTGGTACGTGGATTTTCCAGCTGATGCGATCACGAAGATCATCACCGGCTAACATCATGTTCATCAGCGTCGTCTGTCTTGAATCCGTCCTACGCTCCCAGGAAATCCGAGAACTCAAATGCCTGCACGTCTTCCACAAGGAATGTCTGGATAAGTGGTACCTGCAGGACCACTTCAACTGTCCGCTCTGTCATCGCGCATATTATGTTCAGGAGTCACGGCCCAGTCACGACTTTGTATGGATGGTATAACCGGAGTCGCGTGCTTTGACGGTCGGCCGTCGTGGATTTCTGCTTTTTGTTCCTGCCTGGAACCCGCGCTGGACGCGTAATGCTTACCAAAGACTTACGACTTTGTCTTATGATGTTATGACCAATGCAATACCTCACAAATGAACCAACACCGATCAGACGGGAAACCCATCTTTCGATGGTAGATATTCGAAATTGAAATCCCACGTATCCGGATTATACCAGTCCAAGACGTTGTACAGGCCCGAGGTCGCGTCGTTGAAGACTTCGGCTTGCACAGGCTGTGGGTCGAGAATCTGATCGAGGATATGCGATAGTTTCTTCTCAACCTCCTTGCATGTCTGGTAATTCCCATGGCCGGGGCGTGCTACCCAGGACAGGCACGAGAGAAAGACGCTCAGGTTCCGGATGAGTTCGGCCCGCGGTAAAACGATGGCATGGGGTCCGACTTCCCGGCTCTGTCGGAGGAGCTCAAGTGTCAAGACACTGGCGCTGGGGAGACCATAATAGAGGATCTGTACCATGTCAGCCTGTGAAGCCACGAACAAACCAAACAGAGTGTTCCTACGATCCATGAGTAATGCCGGGTCATGTCCATCAGCGAATCTCTCTCCGCGTTGATCCTGATGATGTTTGACAGTACCTGTCTGGATGTTTCAAAAAGTGCCGCTTGACCGGTGTTGGTGCGTTTGACAAGCGTCCTCTGAACCAAGAAGACGGTGTACAGGTAGTCGAGATAGGTGTGAAGTACCGCAAATGACGAGCAATAGATATCATTCTCCTCCACATCCGCACGAATATCGTAGCGCAGATAAGCAGGAGCCGTGTTCCATGTATTCCGTGCTTTCTCAACCAGGCGACTACAGAACGTCTCAGTAGTGGTAAAATGTTTGTCTTTGGGGTCTTACTTTGATTTCTCCACGAGATCATCCTGATCACCAGTGCCGAGCGCTAATTCAAGTGCCTCTTCTCGGAAGATGGCGAGCAGGAATCGAAGGCGAATTAGTGTAACCGGGTGGGTGGTCCCATACACATGCCATCCCGCCTTGTCCAGATCCGATATTGCTTGCGTCAGAGTGCTCCCGCCAGCAAGTAGAATTTCATGACTGATATCCATGGGAGGAGTCAACGTGCAGTATCGGTAATTGATGAGGGGCGGCCTGCCCACAAACGTAGCAAGCGACTTGTCCGCGTAGAATGCTGAAGCAAAGCAGACTCTTCTCCATTGACGAAGGAACCATGGGCAGTCATCGGTCTGAGTGCTCTCTTGATGGAGACCGGCAGCGTAGATCGTGGCAGACAAATCACCCAGTCGACGCCAAGCTTGATAACCTACATAACGATCAACAAACCATCAACTGTCGCAATGGGTAGTTAGTCATACTGGAGTCCCCATATTGCTGTGTCCTTAACATGACGTCGTTGTACTGGTAGAAGCCCAGGAGTTCGTTCACCGACGATGCTTGATCGCAGAAACCGAGACAGATGCCACTGGCCTCAACAATCTGAGCGCGAAGACGATCTTTCGCCTCGCTATCAGGCGCTGCTTGAGTGAAATCAGGATCGCTGTCAGGCGTGGACATCAACGCTATTCCGGTAATCGCAAAGATGTTCCCCAGGGCTTCCCATCGGGAGTTCCTCCCAGTAAACGAAGATAAGTATTGCTCCACGGTCATCGAGCCATGAACGGTCAGCGGGCGAGAAGTATTCTGAAAAATCTGGTTGACCAAATCTTGAAACTGAGAATCGAAGTCATTTGCGTCTAAACTGTCAAATATCCTCCGGATGGACTCAACGATGGAATAAATAACGATTTTTGGCACGATGGTAATCACCGTCCGAGCATGGTACTTGCGAATCATGATATCGCAGACCGGAAGATCGTAGAGCAGTTTGAGCACCTCCGAGCCCATTTGCAGTCGATCCGAATCAACAGAGCGAGTGGACACAGCAGCCGCCGAGCTGTTGTCTACTTCAAAAGGGATGTCACTGCGATGCTCGGCAAGTACAGCTGAATAGCTGGTTGACCCAAGGTATCCAGGAAGGGCCGATGGCGGCTCCAGAGTTGTACGGAACCGACTATGTTCACGATTTGAGCTGGGACTCGAGGCACTACAAACAATCAGTCTACCATGACTGCGCATCTTCATCAGCCGGAATCAACGAAAGGGTCTGACTTTGAACTTGGTTGGCTCGTCAATCTTCTTGATGCTTCAATGGGGCTGGCTCGACTGGCGACTGTTCGCTTTGTCATCGGCGCAGGATGATAGAAGCATCGGTTAGCGATGTTCTTCGCCGTACAGCGGCCACACACTGGTCGCCCATGATCACAGCGCAATTTCGCTTTGCGACAGGGTTCGCAGGACTGCAGCGTTCCATTGCGACGGACTGCCGGCGATCGGGTTTGTCCTCCGATTTCGACCATTCTCGGCAGCTTGAAAATATCCTCCGTGATGTAAGGCTGATCTCCATGAAATCATCACAACATTTTCAAGAGTTTATGGTTAAGTTTCGACAGTTGAATTTATGCATCTGAAAGGATTATGGTGAAAGTGAAACATGGGCATGTCGGCAAAGTGGGCCTCAGGCCGTCTAGCTCAATGCGGTTAGTGTGATCGAATATATAGATCCTCCATCGACAAGTCCTACTCCATACTCAAGACAAACTCCTTCCGAGAACAATACCAGTGAGGCCTAAGTCGTTGATCGGTTATCCTAAATTTATCAATGGGGGATTTACTACGACTTGCTCTTATGTCAACAATTTGCTTTGATATGTGATCTTATCGAGCACGAGTTGACACAACCGGACCTCAAGTTCTTCGCTCCACCAACAAGGCCTCCCCGTAGTGGCTGATATTGTAACCATTTTCTTCCAGATACGCCTTGAACCGAGCAATTTCGGTCTCTAGCTCACGGGACATGTCATGGATCAGGAACCACGAACAAAGACCTCCAAGCACAGCAAACCCAGAACGCATCAGAAACACAGCCTGCTGACCTTTGAAGTTGGAATCGAAGGAGTTCTGGATCGGGGTGAACACTTCTGTCCCGGTGGTGAAGTGGCCTCGGAGCGGGGTTGGAAAAGACTCTGATGCGCAGGGGAAGGTCAATACGCCAGGGCTAATCTCTTGAAAGGCATTGAAAATGCCATACATCACAACGAACAAGGGCAATACAGAGTGAATAGGACGGAGTGCTCCTCCCAGGATGAATCCCCAAATAGCGCAGAGCACGAATCCAAGGGTCATGTTTTAGGTAAATGCCTATGGGCAGAGAGTCCTCTGCCGCATGCTGCATAGTCATTTTGTGGAATGGGACAAATGACCCTCTCGATGATAGCTAAATACTCAACGTACGGGCCTGATGAAGCACAATAAGAATATAACTTGTAATAGGAACCGAAGGCACAGAGAGTCAGATATTACGATAACACATCAGTAGCATTCGATGAAAATACGCAGTCTAAACCAGCTGGTCGAAAAATAGCCAGACACAGCAAAATCGCACGTGGGCAGCGTGAAGTCAACCATATAAGTAACTCCATCCCAGCTCGCGGCGGGTCATCCACTTCCACCCGCAGGAGCATCACACCCAGGCACCCTCTCGTACACCTCAAGCCAAAATGCCCCCATCAACTCCCCTCGAGAAAGCAAACAACCTCATCAACTGCCTCGAAAAGCACGGCCAAGGCCACTACATCGGCGAATACATCAGCCAACTCGAACACTCTCTCCAAGCCGCCCACCAAGCGAAGAAAGCAGATTAGACTACTCACCCTCCCCCAAAACAGTTCAACCTGACTTCCCCGAAAGGAGCAACCGAGGACCTCATCCTCGCCGCCCTCCTCCACGACATCGGGCCAGATCATCCCCATCTACTCCGCGCGCGAGATGCACCTCCGCATGCAGACGAACAACAACCACGAAATCCGTCGGCCGCATCGGACACGAGACACTAGGCGCGGAGTATCTCCGCGGCCTGGGCTTCAGCGAGGCAGTTTGCAGATCAATCGAGAGTCATGTCCCTGCGAAGCGGTGCGTAGCCTGTCACCTTGCATTGCATTGCCATTGCAAATAAACTTACGGAAGCGCGGGCAGAAAACTAATGATCGCAGATATCTCACGGCTGCGGATAGCGCGTACTACGATTCGCTGTCTGCTGCGTTGAAATAGTCGCTTGAGTTCCAGGGGGTCCGTTTAGCGGGGCGGAGCTGGCGGCCCTTGAGGCGGATCCGCTGCGAGAGGAGATGGTCATGTTGAGGCTTTGGGATGATAGGGCCAAGGTTCCGGGGATTGAGGACTTTACGCTGCGGGCGGGAGTATCTGGGGATGATTGTGGGGCATCTGGAAGGGAGGCTGTAGATGGGCATGTGGATGAATGATTTGTTTAGCGAAACCCAACAGATGGAGATGCCGGAGCAGGATCGTTGATTAGGGATGTCTTGGTGTTAGTTCGAATTCTTGTAGACTAGGCCCCGGGACGTCACCAACTCCGTGGTTCGAATATATTTATGGAGGAAAGACCAATTCTCATGAATATGCAGGTCGTTGCTTGAGCATAAGGCTTTAACGTCTGCATTTGTTCATACAAGGGTATAGACGGCATAACGCGTTCATTTAATACTTCCCACACAACCTCAAACACGGTGCTCCACGTTTGTCACAGAGATACCGGTTTCCTCGCCCTTCTCAGCCACATTCTCGGGCAGAGTGCCCAGGGCGCGTCCGCCGAAGAGCAAATCAATCTCTTCCAGAGACTTCTGCTTGGTTTCCTTGAAGCAGAAGTAGATGACCGGCAGGGTAATGCAAATGTCTAGACAAGATACATTAGCCCGTTTCGCCACAATGACACCTTTTTGGGGAGCAAACTTACTCCATGCCACGAAAACAAAGTAGAACTTCCATCCAAGCTTGCCCAGAGCAATAGGAGAGACTTGAGCCCAGAGAGTAGCCACGGCCCAGTTACCGATACCTGTCGCAAAGGCGTTTCCTTTACCACGAATCTGCATGGGCATGACCTCGGACATGTAGACCCTTGATTGCTATCAGCTAGCGTCGAAGTAGAGCGATGAGAATACTTACCAACTGCAAGGGCCAAAGGACAGGGAAAAGATAGTGGTCACGCAGAAGAGGAATGCAACACCACCGATACTGTAGCCATGGCGGCTACCATCCTCATTCTGCGAGTTCAGTGCTGCCTCACAGATCAACGCAATGGAAATTCCGATGGCACCAAACATCATGGGCCTGCGTCGCCCTACTCTGTCCAGAATGAAGATGATGAAGAACAAGTTCGCGAGAGGACCAACGCAGTTGTAAATACCCGCAACTAGCGTGGCTCTGTTCCCTGTGATACCGAGCGACTCATACATAATTGTTTGATAGTAGCCGATCACGTTGACACCGGTAAACTGAGTGAAGACCTGCACGGCGACACCATGCCTATATGATATGGTTAGCGACGGCGATTATAGCAGAGGGGTCGACAGCCAGGTGGCGGCTATGGGGAGGGCGTACATCAATCTGGTCCGCCACTGAGGGACTTGGAACATGATGAGCCAGCCAGGCGCCGTAACAGCCTTCTCAGCATCAATAGTGGCCCTGATCTCCGTGTATTCGGTCTGAATCCAGTCGTCGTTGGTACCGTCATAGTGCAATCTCTTTAAGATCCTCATCGCTTCGTCGTACTTCTCGGTCTCGACCAAGTATCGAGGGGACTCTGGCATGAAAAGCATGCCGACAACGAGAAGCAGAGCAGGAACGGCCTGGAATGCCAAGGGGAATCGCCATTGGAACGAACTCGTGTCTGGTGCGTGGAGTGATCCGTAACCGACCCATCTGCCGGGTGTCAGCAACCCCTGGAGATCACAAAGGCAAAGACCGGCACGTACGTGCTGACGATGAAACCAACACCAATCATCTGTTGCGCCAGTCCAACGATCAAACCACGAGAGCGAGGATGCGCACACTCGGCCTGGTAGACGGGCACGGACATGGACATGAGACCGACAGCCCATCCTGCGAGGATACGGCCGACCAGAATCATGGCCAGGTTCATCGCCGAAGCCTGCAGAATAGCGCCGACGAGACAGATGCAAGCACCCATCTGGATGGTGAATTTACGCCCGAACCGATCCATCGTCAGACCTCCCTGAAGGGCCCCAATGGCGGCTATCGCAGTCTCTGTCAGTGAACTAGCAGAATTGCAGTAGGAAGGGGAAGACATACCGCCCCCATTGAATGTACTGTTAATGGCACCGATAATGGCGGAGGTCTTGTTGGTGTTGAAGAAGGCGAGGAAATTAGGACTCGCGATAACATCGGTCATCACACCGGCATCGTATCCTTTTAAGAAGCGACTTAGCCAGAAACTCAGATAGGGTGGACATGAAAGTGAGTGCTTTTGTAACTGAGAAGAGACAAAGGTGTCTCAAACCTCGGTATTCACACAAAAAGGGTTTGGAAAGTATCATTGCTGAACGTACCAAAAAGAAACGACCCGGTAGCTGCAAAAGCAGCCAGACTCATGGTGAAAAGTCGGCCCATTTTGGCTACACTTGAAGATAGCAATACTAAAGACCAGCAAGAAGCGGAGTGCACCTGGGGAGCAGAACCGACTGGGCGTTTGGGGAGCAAGCCATCTCTATATAAAATCTAGATTCAGCCCCTCGCGGGAATAGTGAAAAGGCTTGTTGTGTCGCAGAAACCAACAAAAGTAGCGAGAGGCCATCGAAGCGAGCCATGCCAACTTGAGAGCCTAGTGAAGGACAAGCGGGGAGAGAACCTCCAGATCCGGGGATTGCGGGTTAAAGTTCCAAGCTAAGACTCTCAGCAACCGACAATTCAGCCGGCCAGTCCACTCGAGGCATTCGCTTGCTGCTCTGACACTCTTGCCGCAGGGAAGAATGATGTGGTGTGATTGGTGCATTAAATAAAATTGAGGCTAACATCTGACATTTATCCTCCCGTGTTCCTATTGATCGAACAACCATTGCCCAAGCCAGGTATATCAAGGAGATTTCTCCGTCCAGACTATCGTCGACCAAACCAAGCAACCACAAGTCTAAGGCTGGCGTGCGCCATTGTCATTTTACGCTCGACTCCGGTGGCATGACCTAGTTCTGAATTATGTTCTACTTGGATCCAGGCGATTAAATTCCGTACTGCCTACGGAGAGAGCAGAGAGATCCACTCAGCGGCTGACGAAGCCGAAATTCCAATTGCAAGAGAAACCAGATGCTTTGGATAGTATAATAGGTGGACAGATCTTGAAAGTCGTTCGACTGGCTCTCCTGGATGTACCTAGGTAGTTTCTTCGGTCCCTCAGCGATAGACCATGAGAAACTAGACTAGATCTTACTACTCCGTAGGTAAGGGCTGACTCTGAGCACCAAAAAGGTCAAGTCATGTGCTCAAGGGCATGATCTGTCAGGCACTCAGGCTGTCATACCTATCACGTGACTGTTACTGCCAGAATATTCACGTGACAGCGCGTCGAGCGCGTTGGTCCAGCTTCCGCGCCAAACACGCTCAACTTTCCACCCGGCGTAACTTGTGACGGAAAGCTTCGTCGGTGGAAATGCCGCAGCAGTAAGAAAAATGAGCACAAGATCAGCTGGTCATCATTGAATGACTTGAATGCGCTTCAAGGCTATTCGCAACCATAAAAGCTGAAGCCTATCGGTCTCAATTGGGAGCATATTGTCTCCTTACTTTGGTGTCCTTTCCTCGGTCTTCGATGCAGTGGAATAAGACGACGTCGGGATCCCAATACAATGTCTTATGAGCCCGAGGTAGATACCTGTAATAGAGAGTCCGTAGGCAATACGTCAGGTCATCCAAGCACTGGACGAGTGGAAGTCACACACGTAACAATCTGTCAACAGTAAGGCAGCGATGGACAACCCCTCACTGATGCAATAGGTTTGTATAGATAGAACTAGAGGTCAATACCCTATCAGCCTACGCATTCTTCATGTTGGCAACCAAGGATCAATTGGACCCAAATCAGGAACTGTGGAATCTGTCGACGCCAAAGACACCTCGTGCGGGCGGGCTGGATCGGCCGCACTACCGCGCGGGCGTATAGTAAGGTACCTTGGGACTAGTTACGCCGTACTACAACGCCTCCACGCTGTGCAGTCCGCGTCCACATCGCGACGCGATTAGATGAAGCGCTTTTTTCCCACCGCACCACTAAGAGATCTAGTCCACTCCGGATCTCTCATCCAATTCCCCATTCTCTTCTATATCAATGTTCTGATCTTCTGATTTCTACGGCTCTCTTTTCTGTTACTGCTCTTATACTGGCTTCCAATTCCCCCATGCCATACCGATCTTGAATCCTATCGACCGGTGGCAGTGTTGAGAACATGTCGGATCCCGAGCGTTCTGCTGCGGCATGTTCCTCCTCTCCGCCAACGGTACAGACTCCTGAATCTGCTACTTTGAACTATGCCTTCCTCGTGCACTCCCAGAAGACCCTCACCCAGAACCTCCCCCCGCGAGTCGACAACAAGCTGCTTGCTCGTCAGAAGCGCCGTCGGACAAGGTATATATGAGCTCAATTCGAATCTGAAGTAGTCAATTGCCATTGACTGGCTCTGCTTGAACTATCTTCGCTAATTGCTGTCCATTTGCTGCCGTACAGTCCCGAGGACCACGCGATACTCGAGGCCGAATATCAACGCAACCCCAAACCAGACAAGACAGCGCGCGCCAACATTGTGAGTCGCGTCTCGTTGGGAGAGAAGGAAGTGCAGGTATGATCTCGAGAATAAGAACGCCGCGTCGTCAGACACTTTAGTTCTGATCATGCAACGCTCCAGATCTGGTTCCAGAATCGTCGTCAGAATGACCGGCGAAAGTCCAAACCCCTCCAGCCACACGAACTTCTCGCCCCTCGATCGGACGTGTCTAGCCCTCTAAGACAAACTACAAGCGACGGCGGCCCTTCTGCGGAGCCAGAATCATCGAGTGGGGGAGAGCAGTACGATGGACGGGAACAAGACAGGGATCTTGCAGACCTGCCTTTGGAAGATGGCGTGCCGCAGTCTTCCTATGAGTCGGTAGAAAGTGGAGGCAAGGACGATACGGCACAGCTTAGTTTGAGCTCACAGACAAGCCTGTCGTCGCAATCAAGCGAGAACAGTCAAGAGCTCATTAAGGTCATTCCCGACACAACGTCGGCTCAGCAAGATAACGACACGCCGCTTGATCACACACAACTCTCTGCCAAGAGAAAGCGTTCCATTTCAGACCTGCGCGGAGATGTCCCAACCACACATCAGCAGCATCAGCAGCAACAACAAACTCCTGGCGGCCTACAGATTCTGAAGTCGCCACCATCCTTACGTCTGTCACTGTCCTTTGACGGAGAGGCAATGGTACGAAGGGAAGGCGAGTTGACACCGTCTCCCCCGAAAGGACGCAACTCTCTCCGGATCGCCATGTCTTCGGATGGGAAAGCTGTCATCCGTACAGAGGATGAGCCATCCCCGTCCAAAGGCCGCATTTCCATGTTCTCAACAAAAAGTTCCCGATTCGCAGGGTTGCGTAGAAGCAGTAGTGCGGTGGTCCTTGGAACACCTCGGGCTGGCGCCATGGAGAAGGAGAAAGCCTTCGGAAGATCACGAGACCCTCGGAACTGGGAATCATTTTTCGACACCGACGCAAGAAGCGCGTTGTCGACTCCAACTAGCTCTCAGAGTGCTCCTAACTCTGCCTCCCCTAACCTCATGCTTGCCCCTGGTCAGCGCTCATTGACCCGAAGCTTATCAGCAAGACACACTAATATGTCGACTTCGACCACTAACGATTACCTCAACACTCCGATTCCACAGCATGCTGGTGAGAAGCGGCGGAAACTCTCGCGTACTGTCTCCTCTCTAGGCCGACTTGAGTCTGGCTTTAGCAATCTCAACAGAACGCCATCGGGCACATATAAGATCTCCAAACTCCGTGATACGATGAAAGACAAGGAAGATTTGGATATCGAATGCGGCGACTCGGACAAAGAGAATTGGATTCCTGGGACCCGAGTCTCACATGTTCGGCGGCGAGCCGCCACCCACCATCAGTCTCAGCGCCCGGCGCTCAAAGAAGCCAATGGACGAGATGGCAGGATAAACAGGAATCTAGCCGCAACAGGCAGACGTTCCCGAATTCCTCAACCGTCGCACCGCAAAAGCATCAAATCCATGCCAGAGCTTGATGCGGATGTTTCGGCTTTCATGGCCGGCGGAGGAGTTGCAAGCCAAGAAGAAGACCTTGACTGTGTTCAAGGTCTATTATCCTTGAGTCAAGGCGCTTGGAGGTAGTCTTCATATTCCTCCTTAGCTTTGTCTCTATGATACCACTGATTTCCTTTGTTCCTTTTCTTTTGTCCTATACTTCTTGACGTTCCTTTCTGCTCATGTTGGATGTCGCAAGCAAGCGAGGAGTGGTTCCATGTATGATGTCGGAGGAGGCTCATCTTGTAATGATTGAACTTTCTATGTGTTGTGGACATAAGCCTCGGTTGTACGGAACATACAGTTTCCCCCTTGGAGGCTGTGGCCACTTGTTTGTGTTGACCACGATGATGATGAAACCCTTGCCATGAGATAGCCAAGCTATATTGATGTCAGGCAAGCTGTCTCGCCAATCAGACGACGAGGACGAATATAAATATTTCAATAGAACACCAATCCGTAGAGCAGTGCATTAATTCTGATCCAGATTGTAGTGATGAGGGGACGTTGAAGTTGGCACCTCCTGGCGGCAAGAAGAATGCAGGATGGACGCACGTGGTCCGCCGGCTGACTGATAATGAATGCATCAAAGAGTTTGTGTTTCGTTTATCTAGCTCCATCTCACGTTGATATATCAGCAAGTTGTCTTCATCCCTAAGCTTCTTAAGGCAAAACGTTCAAGGACCTGGACAAGTAGGTGTATATAGTGGAGAGGTAAGTTTTTACGAATCGTACTTTGTTTTATCCTCGTATTCTTCAGGACATGGTGTCTCGGCTTTTGAGTGAGCTTGTCACTGTCCCAGCACATACAACAATGTTTATGCTTTGAATGTTGATCTATTGAACTCATTTGGATGATCGAGAGTGTTATTCGCACCTTTTCTTGTTGCATACCGCTTGCGTTGTGTTCTTCGATTTTCATCTGGCCGCGTGCGGGCATCCATCTTGTATACGATCTACTACTACTCTTCATGCAAGAACAACATCTGCATCTTTCACCGGCTTATTGTATCTATCATAGGACTGTACGGACCGCAAACTGACAGAGTCCCTATTCCAAGACTGCTCCTAGCAAGAACGTTGCAATATTTGAACGTCAGAGCAGTCTGTTGCCACATCCTATTGCCACAATGGGCGGAGGCCTCAAGGTGGCTATTGTCGGAGCTGGCCTCGCTGGCTTACGGTGTGCAGATATACTAGTCCAGAATGGTGCTCAAGTTACCATCTTTGAGGCAAGAGATCGACTCGGAGGGCGGGTGCGTTCACAAGCATATTGATGATCGCGAATCACTTACTGAATCTAAACAGGTCCAT